AACACCCCAATTTTTAATTGGAATATTTTAATTAATTTATTTAATTGAGAATATTCATTTTTCGGTGATTTTCGGTGTTTTATGGAATTTTGAGAATTGTGCAATTTGTGGGTTATTTATTTAATTGGTAGTACATAATATTAATTTATTAGTATTATTATGAATTAAAATGAATAATAGTGAAAGAATGGTAATTTGGGCATTAAGAGGAGTTAGTGAGGATATTATGGGAAAATTCCAAAATTGTGAGGCCCAAGTCTAGGTTTAACAAAAAAGGAGTTTTGAAGGGTTTTAGGATTCATTTTGTGTTAACCGTGAAGAATTGAGGCCAGAGAGCTCTGAAGAGGAAAATTGGAGGCAGAAGCGTTGAAAGATTTTCTGACCGATTTGCAAAGGCTTTGAATCAACGATTTAAGGTATGGGGAGTATTGCCTTTCACAATTTTCTATGTGTAGATTTCGATGTAGTAAGATTGATTTAAGGGTTAAGGGTTTTGAGGGTAGAGATGAGAAATTATGATCTTTGGCCTTCGTGGCCTAAACCGATTATAGGTAAATCTAGTCGTGGTTCAATTGGGGAAAAAGGGAAACCTTAGGTCTTCATGGCCAAAACTATGATTTGACATGTTTGACCCTGAAGGAATAGGAATATTTGAATGTGAGTAACTCTGATGCCTTTGGGGCAATTGTAGGGAAATTTGTGATTTAGGGTGGGAATATGATTCGGGATTGGCCTAATTAACCGTAAGTTTTGTATCTTTATCGCCGTAAGACCTTAGGGATTATTTAGGGATGTTTTGGGGGCATTGGGTATGTGAATCGTAGAGCCTTTTAGGTAAAAATCAGTTCTGGTGCGTAGCAGAATTTGTTGTCATCGCACAGTTCGCCTAGCGAACAATGTTGTTCCTAGACTCGCCTAGCGAAGAAACTCACCCCAGATTCACCTAGCGAACATGCCAGCGAACGTAGCAGAGTTTCGCGCATTTTGATCGTGTGCAGTGATGCCTTGATGTTTGATTCTATGATTTCTGTGATGAATTAACATGAGTATGACTGTGAGTTTTATGTGATGTATACGTGATGACATGATGATTTATATGACTTAATGTGATGATATTACCATGACTTTGATGAATTATATGATGATATGAGATATGATGATGATTGACATGATGATGAATATGATGAATGATGATGCACCTATGCTGTTATATGAGGATGATTTGTGATGTGTGCATCATGCATTCATGTGCATCCGGACTTCGGTTCAGGACCTCGATTACTTTGGCTTCAATCCCATTGTGTGGATGTGAAGTGTTTTGATGTGCTCCATTTCTCTAGTAGAATCGATCCTATTGATGAGGATCTATGGAGGGTTGATGGCCCAGTGTCCATCGAGCTGTGATGATTGGTAGCATATGCATTGAGTTGTGTCGCATCTGCATTTATGATTCTTTTTGTATAAATTATGATATTGTGGCCTTCGAGGCCTATTGAAGGATATGAATGTGTTGAATATGGATATGATGTCGTTTATATGTTGATTTTTATGCATTGGTTATTATGAATTGTTTTACTCAGCCTGCCTGTTTGAATGTTACCTCCACGTGGGTAACGTGCACATGACCAAGTTTAGTCGTGGACGCCGTCGAGGAGTATTTTTGAAGTTTTGAGTTTTTAGCCTTTTGGTTAGCTTAGAGGGTCTTGCTCTGATATGTAACATCGGGTTGGGTTCTTTTGAGTTAAACTATATACTGTTGAGTTACTTTGCTTATGTTCCCTGATGAGGAAAACCTTTACTTATGCCTTTTGAATTCTGTTGTTTTATGCTGTTTGATGTATTTTAGGAAAAACCCGTTGTTTACGGAGCCGTGACCTATTTTGATGACATTGAAAAATGTACGCCCTTTGGTGGCTTTTTATGAAATTTAATAATTTTACTCTGATATTTGTGTAATTGTGCCATGCTAATTGTGGGGTAGAAAAGGGTGTTACAAACATCGCCTCTATCCCCCTACACCAACGTTATACTTGGTGTGGTGACATCGAATATTCGGCGAGTTCATAGTTAATGACCGACGTAGATCTGGTACCAGAGAGCCTCCTATAGGTACCAAAGGATCTCCAACTACTGAACAGGGTCTCCTTAGGCCAGATCCAATAGGTCGGGGTGAAGCATGCTGACTGTACTACTTCATTTCCTTATCACTTAGGTCAATTATTAACAGAGGAGTTGTTTATTCCAATGGCGACCTTTTGGTAAACTAGCCCTTCCATATGACCTCATAGTGTTGCATTAAAAAATACACACGTTGGGGCATAGTTATGGTTGAAAAACGATAGCGTCAAGAAAACTATAGCCTCGGGTCTCCCGGTAAGTTCAACAGTTTCCGCCGAGGTCGGAGTTCGCATGAGATAGCTCAGAAACGACCCTTGGATAAAAGTACATTAAAAATATTAAAGAATTGAAAAAAATGATGAATTAACTAATAAAAATTTAAAACTTAATCTACTTAATTTCTAACAGAGAATTCGGAATATAATTGGATTAGCTCATTAAGCATCTAAAGTTACAATTATTCAATATAAACAATAGAAAAAAAAATCACAAGACTGAGCCTAAACAAGCCTACACTTAGAAAAAAATCTCAATGAACAAGAAATAAACCTAAAAACATTCAAACTACTTAAAAATGATAAAACTATCATGCAAGATCTAAGTAAAAAATAAAGAGAAAGAGATGAAGAGATTGTATGTCAGGATTTATACTAGTTCAGTTCACGTCCTTGCTTGGCACCTGATCAAGTTTTCTTGGGATGAAAATCTTTAAACAGAGTGTGGTTGTTATCACCACCTTTTGAGTCATTAAAAGGAGAATTGAGGTTGTGATTGTGGCAATGGCGTCTTTTTTGAAACTTTGGCATCTTTTTCGGTCGAGACTCAGAATCGATGGGATTGTCCCTTAAGGTAGATTTGGAGTGACAATGTTGCAACACCTCTAAATGAGTAGCAACTTGGGAAGGAATTTCCTAATGATCCTCTTATTGTCAGAAATTTCTTTGACTAAGAAGATTTACATTATGTTGTTGCACTAAGTTATATATGTTCAGTGTGGGCTTGTTTACACTGTGCATTCCCAACGTCTCTTAGAGTTATTAGAGGCTTTGTGATAGATGTGGCCAGATGATTTGAGTTGTGGCCGAAGAGGAGTTTATTGCAAGAGGTGAAAAAAAATTATTGCTAGAATGGCACATTGGAAGAGATAATGCTCTGATTGGTTGAGGACTCTGGTGAGATGCCATATGTGAAGTGCTCAAATTGCGGCGTCTTGTTATTAGGCAGATTGTATGTCATAAAAGTCATAACAAGTGTCGTGGTATCTAGGAACATTTTGATCATCAATCAGATCTCAAGTGTGTGAATGGGATTGGAATGAATGGTAGATTAAGTTACCTTGGATTCTACCTTTGGAGATAATCACTAGAAATGAATTTAGAGATTGAAGAATGGTCGGAACTTGGTAACATAAATGGTTGTGACAATTGAAACAGTTAACAAAAAGAAGTTGTGGCGGAGCAATGCAAGAGATTGAGGGATTGTGATGGTGATTTGTGAAAATTAGAAAGTGATTCCTACATACGAGGCCACTATTTCAATGTGGAACAGAAAATGAGTTACAAGTCAATCATAACCACCATGGAAAAGATTTTCAAGTCAGTAAATGAGAGAGATGGAACTTGCAAGAGTGTAAATGAATTGTATTTTAGTACAATGCATGATCACATTTATAATGACGACTAGAACCGTCCCTAATGGATACACAGTCAGTTGTAAAAGTGTGTTGCTCTAACGATTACTATGTAGATGAAGTAATACTCCAGCCAGTGTCATGCACCAGCATGGATGTCCCTCATTCATCCACTACGTTTGAATTAGATCTTATTGTGTTGGTCTTATATAATATGAGAATATCATTTTTATATGAGAATATGATAATGAATCTGAACCATTAGATTTTAAAATATATATCGGAAATTATGTGTTAATTTTATTTTTCTCTCCTTCATAGGATACATAAAAATCACATTCTATATATATATATATATATATATATATATATATATATATATATATATATATATATATATATATATATATATATATATATATATATATATATATATATATATATATATATATATATATATATATATATATATATATATATATATATATATATATATATATATATATATATATATATATATATATATATATATATATATATATATATATATATATATATATATATATATATATATATATATATATATATATATATATATATATATATATATATATATATATATATATATATATATATATATATATATATATATATATATATATATATATATATATATATATATATATATATATATATATATATATATATATATATATATATATATATATATATATATATATATATATATATATATATATATATATATATATATATATATATATATATATATATATATATATATATATATATATATATATATATATATGAATACTCACATTTTAAAATCATTTTTATTCTTATAAAATCCGTAAAAGATAGAGATAATATATCTAATGTGTTGAGTTATGTTGTTTCAAAATAAAGATGACGCGCCGTGACATTTTCAAGTAATGCTTATCTAGATGCAAAAAAACAATTGGTGATGGAGATTGTATACAGCATTTGTGATGAATCCATGTTTTTCGGTTTATCACCTTCCTCTTGCAATCTACATTCTCCTATTCAATAACTAGAAAGTAAGCTATGAATCACGACCACTCGCTTCTTCCAAAAGATTTACACAAAAATTTTGCAACATTTTCATCATCAACAAAACAAAAATGAGAAGAAAATTTTGTCTACTTGGTAATCAGATTGTAAATAAAAATAGGAAAACCAAGATTTATTGTTAAATCTAATAAAAAATCTCAGCATGGCAATAGCACTTACACAATGCTCAGAAAAGCTAGGCTACCTCATATTTCTATTAGGCAAAAATTTTGTTATGTTTATGGCAATGGTGGTTGCATGCAATGGTGTACATTTTCTTCTAAAGCCTTATCAACAGCCTCGTATTACTTCCGACATAATTGTAAGTTTCCTTCCTAAAATGAACCATAATCGCGCATTTCATAATAAACTTATCCATAATACAAGTCAAAATACAAGTCGATCAGCAAAGCAATACATGAATGTAGGGTTTGGACTAAAAACTTAAAATCAATTTTTTTTTTAATATATTGTTCGTGTTTATCAATGCAGGTGGGACTATTAATGGGAAATGTGCCATTTTTACGTGATCTATATGGAAAATTCAACCATACATTTGGATTTATCATTGATTTTGGCATGATGTGTTACATGTTTGCTTTGGGGGTAGAAATGGATCCTTACGTACTCTTCAAGAAACCTACTAGAGAAGCTCAAGTTGCTTATGCAGGAGTAATCCTCACATTCATCCTAGCAGGTTCCGCAGCACCACTTCTCCATTACTTCTCAATGGATAATCATATACTAGAATTCACTCTCTCCCTCTCAACTCTTCTTTCAAGCACGGCGTCACCCGTCCTAACCCGTCTCATAACCAGTCTCAACATAGGAAAGTCGGATATCGGGAAACTCATCATAGCAGCAGGAATGTATTCGGATTTTATATGCTCTTTGCTTCTTTCAATCGGCTACATATCAATGCCGCTCGACACATTATGCACAAATACTGAGCAAAATGGACGTGTCAAAAAGGCGATCATAATGAATTGCGCTGTTCTTGGACAGGCATTGTTCACAGCAACAGTTTCGCCGGTTTTTATGAAATGGGTTGACAATGAAAATCCTGAAGGGAAACCTATGAAAGGCTCACACTTGGTGTTGTCAATTGCATTCATGGTGATGAGCTGCGCTTCATCGATACTATATAACTATAGTCCAGTTCTAAGTGCATTTATAACAGGAATATGTTTTCCTAGGGAAGGAAGAGTTTCGAAATGGGTTATTAGCAAAATCAATTATTTGTTGACAACTATGTTTTTTCCCATTTTTTTCTTGTGGATGGGTAATGCAGCTGATTTTAGGCTGTTTCAGCTAAGAGAATTATGGACATGGCCAAAAATATTTGGCCCTATTGTAATAGTAATGGCAGGTAAAGTTGTTGGAACAGTTGTTTCTGGTGTAATACTTGGATTTCATTGGCCTGAATCTGTTGCTATTGGATTGTTGCTCACCACAAAGGGACATTTTCATATCTACATGGCTATCAAAGTGGCAAGTAGTCTTCTCATTCCTCTCTTCTTCACTATCTCATATAGTTTCACTATTCTTTCCCTTGTGTGTCAATTCAAATTTCTGTATGATAATTTTGATGTAGCATTGACCCTTTATACAGAAGGCATGTTTGGTGTCTCCACATGTGGTCACATTGAAATATGCATAGCTAATAGTTACACCTTTTCGGAATCATAACAAAAATTACATTTTAGCATTGAATGAATCTCATGGTTTATCCTTTTTACAACAGATGGGTTGTGGCTCCGATACTTCGTCGGGTATTGCATTGGTGATTGCAATATTTTTCTCAGTGGTGCACGTCCCGGCAGTCGTAGCACATATCATCAAACGCGCCAAGAGAAAATTGCCTATGCATCGGATGTCGCTCCAATTGCTGGATCCATCAAGTGAGCTAAGAATTCTGCTATGCCTTCATGGACCTGACAACATTTCTGCTTCCATCAACTTCATGGAGATCTCAAGAGGGAAATCAGACCCTGGCATTCTGGTATATGTCACAGAAATGATTGAACTAACTGATCAAATAGCAGTCACAGTAGAAAGAGGAGAAGGAGTAGAAACAACAAATGTGAAAGATAAGGATATCGTGCAGATGAGAGACCAAATAACTAGCTCGTTTCAAGCTTATATAAACGACAATGGTAATGGCGTTACGCTCAAAAGAACGATGGCGGTGTCGACGATCAATAACATGGCACAGGATATCTGCACTTTGGCAGAGGATTTGATGATTGCTCTTATCATACTTCCATTCCACAGGACCCAAACTATTGATGGAAAATTGGATGGTGGAAATCAAGGATTCAGATATGTGAACAGAAAGGTAATGTCAGTAACTTGAACCTATGATCTCATTTTTATTCATTCATTCAAACACGAAAACTAAACATTTTTATGTGGGAAAAAAAAACTTATCTACTAAAAAGCATTTTTCCTAATAGATATTTTGATACTCAGTTATTGAAGAGTGCTCCTTGTTCCGTGGGGATTCTAGTGAACAGAGGCTTGGGATCCTTTGAAACAATATCAAAGACTCAAGCAGCAGTCAATGTGGCAACAGTGTTCATTGGTGGAAAAGATGATAGAGAAGCACTTGCATACGCCGGCCGCGTAGCAGGGCATCCAGGAGTAAAACTCACAGTTATAAGATTCTTAGTAGATACCACTGTAGAATCTTCAAGAATGGCAGCATACAGGGTAACTCTCTCGGAGAAAGTTCAAGAGATGAGCCTAGACGATGAATGTTTTGCGCAGTTTTACGATAAACATATTTCCAGTGGTCAAATTTCATATATAGAGAAACATCTTGCTAATGCGGCCGAGACTTTTTCTACTCTCAGATCATTTGAAGGACAATACTCACTAGTTATTGTAGGAAGAGAAGGCGGCCTGAACTCGATATTGACGAAGGGGATGAATGATTGGCAACAGTGTCCAGAACTGGGACCGATAGGTGATGTCCTTTCAGGACCCGACTTCTCTACAACAGTGTCTGTGTTGGTAATCCAACAACACAAACATAAAGGAGAAATAGATGGCCTTGATGAGGAATTTAACATCATGTAGGTGTAGATGGATAGGTAGGGTAGAGATAGATACTAATTGTATAGCAAGGAAACAGAAAATTTGTAGAAAGGAACTCACTTGTGAAAATTGTAAAGATAAGTGTAAAATATGACAAGATTCTTATCATGCTGACTTCAAGTATGTTCATCTTGGAACATTCCTTTCAAAACTAATACCCCGAGTTTGATTTGTTTATTAACAAGGGAGTTAACTTAGCACAGTAAATAAAAATTTAGACATGAAATCCACAATTCACAAGATCCATGTGACAGAACAGAAATAAACTAGTAGTTGGATGTTTTAATACAGTGCAAATCCTCCTTCTAAAGCATTTTTGTTAATATAACTTTGAACTCCATACAAAATATCTATTTTAATTTGATTTAACTGGACTGATGCTGTCACAGTATCTGCAAAAGGTTACTAAGTCACACAATTTCCATCTTGACTGTTGTAAATCAGTAGTCCTTTGAAAACTTCAACATCTCAGCCTGCAATTAAAATTGTGAATGTTACTAATAGTACTCTAAAAAATTTAAAGAAGAATAATTGACAGAATCAGCCAACAATTTACACCATTCCACCGAGAGATAAGTAACCAATATGTATATTTCAACAGAATTATATATAAACCAACTCAAAAGCACTGGGCCATAAAAGAGCATGTAACGATTCCCCCCATTCCACCGAGAGATAAGTAACAAAAATGTATATTTCAACAGAGTTATATACCGACTCAAAAATACTGGGCCATAGTAGAGCATGTATGACAACAAAAAGCAAAGCATTCTTCTTATTACTCTCTACAGTTCTAAATATACAAGAATGTTTGATCAACAAAATTGATGTATTTGGTACAAAGTTTGGACCAAATACATCAAACTTTAGCTGAGAACACTACTCACAGACAATGACACCATGCTCTGTCTCTCCTACTTCTCGCATACTATCACATCGACAAGCAGAATTTCATTTCTACCAAAATTCAGACCGTGCCAATTTCAATTTCACTGTCATAAGTAGCACCATCTTACTATGTAGTGACAATGATATAAAAAGAAGCTTCAATATGACAACAACCGAGTCTTCGATAACCACTCCCATTGTTTTCTTTATCATAACTCCTACTCCTCCCACTTCACAAACAATTCCTGAATTGCAACCGATATTGATAAAGTGAAGTTAGATTACTGTATTGGATGATGTAAGGATAGTCTATAAAATTAAGAGAAACTACATCTATACACACAGCTCCAATAACGCATTATCCTGTGAGCACATCACCAGATCAAAGATTAGGCATCTCACATCCCTTATCCATTTTATATCTTTGTTTACATCCTTTAATCGTTCTGCTTGCACACTGACCTCTTGAAAAACTCACTCCTCTTTCCAATCAAAACTCAACTAGTTCTTAGTTCTTACAATACATTTCAAACTTTGCCCAGAACAACTTACTGTGTTACGCCAAAGCCAATGGATTCATGCTTGTGTAAATGGAATAATTAAATCCCTTTGATTTTACATTCAACCAATTCCACACTAAAATTTTCACATCCTCCACAATGTTTTCAATATCAACTACTTACTTTGTAATATCCTTCTATTCCTCTCCTTCCAAATAATCCAAACATATGCAGCCCAAACTATCAATTTTCTGTTCTAGAATTCACTCTATTAAACATGTATAAGAATCACTATGAAAGGAGAGTAAACAAATACATGGACGCATCACTCAAAGAACAAAAGAAAGGGATACACATTGTACCTCAAAACCACTCTTCAAGGTATCAAGCTCCTTATCGAGATCGTTAATAGACTGGTTGTATGCCTGCATTGGTGAAGACTGGCTGGTGGTATGTATCTGCATAAATAACAACAAATTCACATAACAGATAAAAAGAAATATTCACTTCCAGCCCCTAGTTAGTGTAAGCAAATAATTAATAACTTAATAATAATTAGAAAGAAATTAGAAAGAAATAGGTTGCAACAAACCCTAATAATAATTTTGTACTGAAGAGGATGAGGAAGCTTGTATCCAGCGAAAAGCACGTTGGGGTCTTTGTGGAGTTGCCTGAACACATACAAAATCGAGATCAACTAAATTGAAAAATAGAAAAAATAGAAAAAATCGAAAAAGTTAGGGTTTGATTAACAGTTGAAAAATAGAAAAAATAGAAAAAATCGAAAAAGTTAGGGTTTGATTAAAAGGAAGAAAGAGAGTGGGTACATGCGAAGGATGTTTCCGATAGTGTGATCTTCTCTTTCAATGGTGAAAGAAGCAGCATTGATGATCTTGGTGTCCCTCTCGTAAGAAACCCTTGATTCAGTAGAAATGAAAAGAATCAGAAAAAACAAGAGAGAGTTGTAATTGAAATGAAATGTTGAGATCGATAGAAAGAAAGATATACTTTTTGGTGCCTTCAGGGACGACAAAACGCTCGTAACGATCAGGTGCATTCATGGTTTCTTCTTCGCTCTCTTCTCTTCTGTTTGTTTACTAGCACTACCACGTTGTGAATAAGCTTGGTATCGTCTATGAGGACTACTATGGAGATTTTTATTTATTTATTTATTTATCTTTAAGAAATTAAATTATAATTAATAAACCATTGAAATAAATAAACATATTAACAAGTTATGATACAAATATATGTTTATATTTGTATAACATATGTGATTGTTGATTGAAATTTATCTATTTTTAATTCATTGATGGACGATCCAAGATCATCTCTTTATACATTTAAAATAAAATGAGATTTAAAACTTTTGTAGGACACTCTATAACGTAGAAAAACATTATATAAAATTAAAATTGTTTCTCAGATTTCAGACATGCATCTTTGAATATATTATACATTACCGTAATTGTGCATCAAATGAGTGACACCCTAGATTGAAACAAAAAATTTCAAAGATTCATTTTCGGGTATTTTCAACAAAAATATTAATAGTTGATTAGTCCATTAGACATTCTAGAGATGTGTTTTTTGAGGTTTGGGGCGAGATTTTGAATTTTCTATGACCTTTGCATGTATGATGTTTCCGAAGATGGATCTTCGAAATAATTTGATAAAAACTAAACTATATGATCACACATGCATACTTATTTTCCACTCCAAATCCTTACCAAAAACTATTACATTCTCAATCCACATTTTCACCTCAAATCTTCAATCTAGTGCTTCATCACATCAAAGGGACCAAAAGAAGTTGGAATTTCAAGTAAAGATCATTTATTTCAAGTCTCGTTCCTCACATTAATCTTGTTTTTCAATCTGAAAAATGTGTGTTTATTCTAGAGATACATTTTCGGAGTCTGTATGAACAATTGTGAAAACATATGGTCTCCCATGTGCGTGTGTTATTGCAAAGAAGGTGAAACTTGGTAGTCCGATAAGAAAGGATGAGGTTTGCACTAACTGAAAAAGGCTTAGGTTTGATGATTATGGTGTCATGAAAGACGGTAAATAAAATATCTCTATCTTGACCGAATGTGAAGTGATACAAGAGAGATTTTTGAAAGTTGATGACAATATAAAACTCCACAACAAAGAACAATTGAGGAAGATTACTTATCCGGGAACCACCCTCTCAACCGGTAAAAACAAAAGGTACTCCAAATAATCTCAAGCCTACATCGAGTGACAATTCAACGATGCGGTCTCTTCGTATTTTGAACATGTTGACAAAGTTTTTCTGGACTCACTAACTCCAGAATCTCAAAAAAGAAGTGTTTCCAATGGAACTCGCATTAGCAAACCACCTCTTTTTCCGCCTCCACCAAAGATTTCATTCATAGACGAGATGTTGGTTTTTATGCACAAGTACATCAATTGGATCGTCAATGTCGAAAGTGGCGGTAATTGCGGTTATCAAGCTGTTTTGATTTTACTCAATAAAGGAGAAAATAATCATACACTTGTCTGCCATCAACTTATCCATGAGTTGAGGACTCATAAAGAATCATACACACGACTTTATAGAAAGAAATAAAACTTTGATGTAATTTGTAAGTCTCTTGTTCCTTGCCTTAGTGGACTAGCACCGGAGGCAAAATGGATGTGCTTCTCTGAAATGGGTCACCTCATAGCATGTGTTTATGATAGAGTGTGTATTGATCTTACACGATACGATTTTTCAGAAACCATTTTCCTACTACGCACTGCCCCACCTCAAAATCGAAATGATCATATTATGTGTATTGTGTGGCTTTCAAAATCACAACATTTTATTCAAGTTTACTTGAAACCGGGATGCCTTATACCGCTTACATCATCGGAGTGGGCAGCTTATTCAACAAAGAAAGTCAAGACTTGGTCGGACCATTTTGTGGAAAGGATGTAAGAGTTCGAGATAGGTTTTGAAGATGTATCTCTGGATAGTTTATCTTTGCCAAAACATTTGTTCATTTTCCAAACAAATTCTTCAATTAGGTTATGTTTTTGCCTAGTTCCGGATATGTTCCGAAGATGTATCTCTGGAATAAGAAAATAGGGTGTGGTACCGAAGATGTATCTTTAAAATCATCATACACTTAATAGAATTTTTCAAGCCCAAATTTGTATACAACTTCTATAAATTGAGGGGCTCTTGTTTTTTATTTGAAATAAACATGAAATCATAAATAAACATCATCTGGTATGTCGCAAATGTCTCCTTCTCCAACGTGACACTCGGGCATGCATTTGCAAAAAAATACGCAAGTAGAGTTGATTAATCTTGGCACTGATGAGGAAAAGAAATAGGTCAAGATTGGTACAACACTTAGGGTTGATGTCAAACAGAGGTTGGTCAAGCTTCTAGAGGAATATGTTGATGTGTTTGTATGGTCGTATCAAGACATGCCCGATCTAGACATTGATATTGTTGTTTACAAGTTGCCGCTTAAACCAGAGTGTCCACCTGTAAAGCAGAAACTTCAAAGAACTAGACCTGACATGGCTTTGAAGATTCAAGATGAGGTTAAAAGACAACTTGATGCAGGTTTCCTAACAATTGCGAAGTACCCTGAGTGGGTAGCCAATATTGTGTCAGTGCCCAAAAAGGATGGTAAAGTCAGAATGTGTGTAGACTATAGGGATTTGAACAAAGCAAGCCCAAAGGATGATTTCCCTCTACCGCATATTGATGCACTTGTAGATAATACAACCCGTTTCGCAGTTTTCTCTTTTATGGATGGCTTCTCCAGTTATAATCAGATTAAGATGGACCCTACTGATAGGGAAAAGACTACATTCATTACTCCTTGGGGAACCTATTGTTATAAGGTTATGACTTTCGCCTGAAGAATGCAGGGGCAACATATGAAAGGGTGATGGTCACTCTCTTTCATGACATGATGCACAAGGAGATTGAGGTGTACGTCGATGATATGATTGCCAAGTCCCAAAGTGAGGAGGACTATTTGGATCATTTGTTGAAATTGTTTGAACGACTCAGGAAATACCAATTGAAATTGAATCCTGCTAAGTGTACTTTTGGTGTTAGATATATGAAGACATGGCTTCTCAAACGGTTTTGATGAGGACACACTTTATAATATACAAGGATGGATAAAGGAATCTCAAAGAAATCAAGCTTGAAGAACTTCAATTTCAAATCAATATGTCAAGACTTGGTAAAGAATGAAGACAAAGTTTTACACAAATAAAGGTACGACATTCAGCTTCTATATAGCTTGTACAAGTGTTCAACTTCATCTCTCATTCTTGCATATCATATTGAAAATGTTTTAAAATCATTACAATGCATTTTTGCCTCTATTTCAAAATGTTTTTGCAAAATCTGTTCAGAGTAACCGGTGACCATTTCCTGGTAATCGATTATCTTGTGTTATCTTTCAAAAATTTTAAAATGTTGAGGCTGGTAACCGATTACCACTGGCGCAGTGAGCTAGAAAAGTGCATCTGTTGGCAGAATTTTGTTTTCTCATTTCTTCTTGAACCATCACAACTCTTGGTCATTTGCACTCTTTTGAAAAAGTGTTTAGAGGCATTTATATACCTCATAATCTCAGACTTTAAGATTACCCTTCTTGAAGTAAAAAAAAATTAAAATTCTATTTTCATCTCTCATTTCCAAATTTTCACAAGTGTCAAAAATTCTTCATTTTCAAGAGTGAAACTATTATACTTCAAATTTCATTATTTCATCATAGTTTCATTCCTTTATCTTTGAACACTTGTATTTGATATATAAGAGTTGATATCTCAAGAAAAATATCAGTCGCAAGATTGATAATTGAAGGCTACTACAAACTTACTCAAATCAGAATTTATTTACTTTTTATTTACATCTTATTTTTCCAGGATTGTTGGAAATAAGTTTGTAAGGTTGTAACCTTGCTATCCAGGATTGTTGGAAGCAAGAGGTCCATTTTGAGAGGATTGTTCTCATTGGACTTAGTAAAAAATTCAAGAGGATTGTTCTTGGTGTTTGATTGATTAGAGTATATATAGAAAGACTAGGTATAAGTCTTGTCTTAGGACCTAACAATATTGAAAACTCTCTTTCGTGTTGAAAGGGGACTGGAGTACTCTCGGACTGTGAGGGGAACCAGGATATATCGTCGTGTCTCTTTACTTTCCACTTTTACTGCATTCATCACTTGGTAACTTTTAGGAAAGTAAAACAAGAAATCTACATCAAGACCGACAAAATTTTTTGAGTACCTAATTCACCCCCCCTCTTAGGTGCAACTCTACTAACAATTGACATCAGAGCAGGTTATAGGTAACCTGTTCCTAAAAGATCCAGATAACTTCCACTAGCGTGAACCTGATAACGCGAAAACGTATATATTAAATGCCATGATTTTTATGCCACTAATGTTTAATTTCACCCCGATTTCGGACCTCTCCGCATTGTTTGTTAAGTATTTTTGCAGGTATACGAAGTTCAAACTCAAAAGAAGCAAGACAAAGAAAACAAATGTTAGAAGACACAAAACAGAAGAAAAAGGACAAAAAATAGCAGAAATGGGATTTTGCTGATATGACGGTTGTCACAGGTCCCTCACGACCGTCACGTGTGTGACGACCGTCACGAGCGTCACGAACGTCATGTGCATCACAAACGTCATATATCCCTCACGATCGTCACACTTGCAAAAACAGACTAACGTCCACTTTTGAGAACGTGTCAGCAGAAGTCCAGAAATTAAAATCACGACTCCCTGGATTCTCTCATCCTCAACTGCACTTCCTGAGGTATTTCACATAAGAAACATCCACTATAAAAGGAGAGCTTGAGGACTGGAATGGGGGAACCGCATTGAAGACCACGAAGCTGCCCAATTTACTACAAAAAGCCATTCTTTGTTCCTGCTTTGTTTTTCCGTTATTTTCCTTTGAAATTCCAGTTGTACTATTTTCTTTAACTTTCTGTACGTTAATCGTCACCGAAGAATTAATCCTGCCGACATTGTGAGGGATTATTCAAGTGCTGAAGCATAATTAT